AAATAATATGAGAAAAATACTTTAAGCAAAATTATTCTTAAGGTAATACATGGGTGATCAAGATTTGCAGAAAAGATTTCATGAAGAAATGGAGATTCGTGAAAATAGGGCTATCCTTGTTAATTGAATTTGGTGATAGAATAATTTGGCTAAAATACCCATCATTCATAAGGGTAACAAGAACTCGATACCTAACTCCTCATAAACTCAGGCAAAAAGATATCATTAGACATCCCTTTGGTACTCGATTATAAAAGGCATTCGACTAAAGAGAGATTGAGGCTAAAATCAAAGTTCTTAAAAATGTGAAAGAAGACAAAAAAATATTAACGATAAACTGAGAAAACAAAGAAAATGAACCGGGTAATCAAGAGAATTAATGCAGAATTTCAAGGATTAGGAGTGAATTAGTGTCCTCTTAATTATATTTGCATTGAGATATAAGGCACTGAATCTTGAACTCACCAAGCCAGTTTGATTTTTACCCTCGTAAAAACGATTTGGGGGAAATGAGGCTTTTCTAGAAGATTTTTGGGTTGCATTTTTCTTCGACAGACTAGGCCCATTTGTACCCATGAGTTCTTGATTTGTTTCGTTCAAATAGCCCCAGTTGAAAAGGCGGAAACGACCGAAATCACAGAGTAAACAGGTTACACCACCACAATTAATAAAGTCAAAAGTATCCGTGGAGCCGAAAGGCATAGGTGGAGGTGGAACTACTCCTGCAGAGGAAGAGGATCCAAGAGAACTGCGATCAGAGACTTGATGCCATAAGCGATCAGGGAAGAGGAGGCGAGGAGCAGCAATGTCAATAGTTAGACGGAGGCGCGGCACAGGCAATGATGGATGGCGCCATTTTGGTGATTTGATCTCCTTGTCAATTTTCGAAAGCTCGGTAGGCGATGTTGCACTTTCTAGATGAGGGTAAGTTGATTCAGCGTCGAGATTTATGAGATTAGTGTCGAGTGCAGCCCTTAGTTTATTTTGAGTCTGAGCCAGACGCATACGAGCAGAGGCTAGAGGAAGTATAAAAATACTTCGAATTTATGATGAAAATGAAAATGAAATAAAAAGTAAACTAATGATATGAAAGATATATAGAACAGGATCGTGTTGATTCTTTCCAGATAGCAACTATAACGCCTCATTATACTGACTTAAAATAAACGCGTCTGAAGAAGTTCAAGATAAGGAAGCTAGAAGTTGTAGTGGAGAAGGAGTTAAATACGAGGATGGGGATATGTAGGTGAATATGGACAGAAAGAAAAGATGTCTCAAGAAATGGAGATTAGTGCAAATAGGGCTATACTAGTCAATTGAGTTTGGCGACCGCATAATTTGGCTGAGATACTCATCATTCATAAGGGAAACAAGAACTTGACACCTAACTTCTCACAAACTGATATCACAAAGTGATTACACAATTATATAAAAATTCAAGATATTGTTGGCTAGAAAAGTTAATCACATTCATTTTTAAAAAGTTTGCTCTTCATGCACAATTTTCCATAGACTTTGTGATACTTCTAGACAAAATTTAACTCGTATGACTAAGACTGATCTTTTTCAAAATTAGAATTATTAATAAAGACATGACTCAGGCAAATCATGCCCAAGGCACTTATTTTGGAAGACTTCCTTTAACTATAAATAATAATGAATAATTGTATGACAAGAGTTTTTGGGCAAGCGAGAAAGAAACCTAAGAGATTAAGGAATAAAATTAACTTATATAAATAATCCATATCGAATGTACTATTATAAGGAACCTTAAGGCACATGTCCAGTTAGTATTGAGGGAAGACAAAGGAGGAACAGTAGTAGTTATGGCTAGGACTGACTATGTAGAAAAAATGTTGCAGACAGACGATGAAACAACATATACAATCATATTTAGGAACCCGATGGAATGACTTAAAGTCAAATCCAGTTTTTCTACTAACTTAAGAGTTTTTTGCAATAATACGTAAGCAGCAGGGAACTTGAAGAGTTAAAAATGAGCACACTTCTCCAACGAGTTGCTATACTAACAAACGCATACGGTTTGCTTAAAATTCATAAGAAAGGTATCCCACTTAGGATGATTGTAAATAATAGAAGTAGAGTGATGCATAAAAAATCGCGATTTATTTGTAATCAGTAAAAGCAAATATCAGAAACCTGTAAATCTTCTAAAGGAATTCCTATAAAGTTAGTTTATAATCAGACGTTATTAAGAGATTAAATGAAAGGTTTCGACGTAGTGTCTATGTACACTAACATTCCGATAAACGAGGCTATAAAGGCTTTAGATTTAACTATATATCCTTAAATTAAAACAGGTAAAAATTAAGGTAAAGATTCAATCATTAAAGTAGTCAATTTGGGAATATATAATAAATATTTTACGTTCAATGGTAAGTTGTATGGGCGAATATGGAGTTTGGCCATGGGATGTTGCTTAGACCTTATTTTAGCTAATAATTACATGGCCCAATTAGGAATTCGTGTGTCTAGAGAGGCACTCGTAGTTGCAAAGTTAGGAAGATGACGACTCACTTTCCTGTTTGGCAACACGGCAAAGAAAATTAGGCTGAATGTCTTGAGCTAATAAATATAATATATGTCAATACTAAGTCGACTATGGAGTTAGAAAAGAAAAAGAATTTATTTTCTGGATGTATTAGTGGGCAAAGAAGGTAAAAGCTGGACAGAGACGCGTATAGGAAAGCCACACACGCAATTTTCCTTTTTCATTTCTATTCTAGTCATAGATACAGAACTAAAGTAGGGATTATAACATCAATACTGATAAAAAGTCTGCGTCTAACAGACGTAAACCACAGGGACAAGGAAAACAGTAAATTAAGGCATATAATAGAAGGTATGAAGACTAAGATGGTGTGGCCTTTTGTGTGGTCACAAGCTCTTTTCGTTGTATAGAGACGTGGTCCATGTAGCAAAGGCGCGACCATAAGACTTACTAAGAGGCTTGAGCCTCGAATTAGTTACCCAGACGCAGGGGAGGACGAATAACTCATCGAGTATCACAGATGGGGTGGCAGGGGTAAAGTGAAATTTGTGAACCATGGAAAGAGCAGAAGGATTTTACGGGGTGAGAGAATGTGATAAGAGGAATGCGTAAAAATATGGCAGGCTCTGATCAACATTCCCAGCACAAAGGTGAAGGGGTGAGAACGCCCGAGTGGAGCGTGAAAGGTTTTCATAAATGCTGCTCAAAGGAGCACACCACACTACATTGAAATAAGCATGGTCAAAATTGTAACATTAAAGGCGTAATACGAGGATATAGGAAATGCCAATAGCCCAGGGCAGAAGAGGAGATACCACAACTGTTTAGCACACGTCTGGTCAAAGGATCGGCTTCACTTGTCTCTGACAAGTTTTTGTGGTGAGGACATCTTCACGTTATACAACAGCCTTTATTATGTGATAATCCTCCCTCGGTTTGCGAATTTTTTCCAACCAACTTCTACTTCGAAATGGAAAATCATGTCACAATTATCATAACAAATATGGCAGAGTAACCATTTCTACTTCAAGTTTACGAATTAATTTCCCTGATATGCAAGAATATAAGGTAACTTTTGGGATAGCAATAATTGGTGTATAACAAAGTGCCTAGGGTTACAGCCCGGTACCTTTTCTCTTAGTTAAGCATATTTTTTGTCATATATCGTAAAGTAGGTATTCTTGCTCTGATGATGTCTCTCATGACGGTACAGT